CTTGATTTTAGTGGAACACAAATTCAAGAGATGCCGGTGCAAATGGGTAGACTAAAAAGTTTGAGAACATTGACTACTTTTGTTGTGGGGAAATCTACTGGGTCGCCTATTGGTGAATTGGGGGAGTTGTCTTAAAAAGTTTGAGAACATTGACTACTTTTTGTGTGGGGAAATCTAATGGGTCGACTATTGGAGAATTGAGGGAGTTGTCTCATCTTGAAGGAAAACTTTCTATTTTGAAGCTTAATAATGTAGTTGATGGTAGGGATGCCTGGCGAGCTAATTTGAAAAACAAGAAAGATCTCAAGGAGTTAGAGTTGGCATGGAGCTCCGAAGATGCCGATCATTCCGAAAAGGTGAGAGATGTACTTGACAAGCTCCAACCTTGCATGAATTTGGAGAAATTGACCGTCAAATTTTATTGTGGGACTAGCTTCCCAAACTGGTTAGGAGACTCTGCCTTCAATAAAATAAAAGTTATGCGCCTCGTAGGCTGTCATTATTGCTTCGAGTTGCCACCGCTTGGACAGCTACCTGCTCTTAAGGAGCTCTTCATACGCAAGATGAAATTTCTTAGGACGTTAGGTCTTGAGTTGTATGGTCAGCCATTTCAGCCATTTCAATCGCTGGAGAAGCTGGAGTTTACGGAGATGGCAGAGTGGGAGGAATGGGTACCAAGTGGGAGTGGAGGTCCAGACTTTCCTCGTCTCCAGGAGCTAATTCTAGAAATGTGTCCGAAACTGAGAGGAAGCTTGCCTTGTGATCTGCCTTGCTTGAAGAAGCTTAGCGTGGAAGGGTGTGGAGTTTTACATGATCAAAGAGCCACTGCTACTACTAGTACCAATCTCAACTACAATTCTCTTCAAGAATTGGAAATAGAAGATGGATGCCAAACAAGTCTGTTATCATTACTAGAGACAAAACTCCTGTCCCGACTTAGGATTAGAAATTTTAATGACATACAATGCTTGCCCAACATCAATCGTCTTCAAAGTTTGAGTCTCTGGAATTGTCCAACCCTGTCGTCGTTCCCTGAAGATGGCCTACCCACTTCGTTGACTTCACTTTACATAGAAAGTTGTAGGAGATTAGAATTCCTACCTCATGAGATGTTGGCCAAATTAACATCGCTCCACTGTTTGAGTATATGTAATAGCTGTGATTCAATGAGGTCCTTCCCCTTGGGCATTTTTCCTAAATTGACGACACTTATGATTGGCAATTGTGAGAATCTGGAATCGCTTTGCTTGATTGAAGAAGAAGGAGCGGTTGAGAATCTAAATCATCTCAATGAATTGGATATCTCGGGGTGTCCAAATCTTGTGTGTTTTCCGCAGGGAGGATTGCCCACTCCCAACCTGACTCGATTGGAGTTCCGCAGATGCGATAAGTTAAAGTCATTACCTGAACGCATTCACACCCTCACAGCCCTTCAAGATTTGGATATAAGAGATCTTCCAAATCTGGAGTCAATTGCAGAAGATGGGGGTTTGCCTCCCAACCTCCGAGATTTTAGCATTTATAATTGTGAGAGACTGAGGGCTTCATCTTCATCAGTGGGAGGAGACTACTGTAACTGGGGTCTGCAAGCACTTGTCTCCCTTGAAGAATTTATGATTGGTGGCAGGGGAAGTGATGAAATCTTGGAGACGTTGCTCAAGCAACAGCTGCTCCCTACCACTCTTCACGCTCTCTGGATCAAGGAACTTTCAACTCTGAAATCTTTGGATGGAAAGGGACTTGCACACCTTACTGTTCTTCGAAGTCTATATATTAATAGTTGTAAGAGTCTGGAATTCCTTCCAGGAGAGGCACTTCAACACCTCACTTCTCTTCAAGAGCTACATATTAAAGACTGTCCGAGTCTCCAATTCCTGCCAGAAGAGGGTCTGCCGCCATCCCTTTCTTGTCTGAGAATCTACAATTGTTCTAGCCTGGAGAAAAGGTATCAGAATAAGACGAGACAAGATCATTGGATCGAGATAAATGATGAATTCATCATATGATGATATGACCTCTCCCTCTCTCTCTCACATATAGACAAACAAACTCAGGTCAGGTATGTACTTCAAATAACCGCTTTAACTGCTTTTCTTCTAATTCAATACAAAAACCGAAATTCAATATCCAAATTAACCGAAATACACATTTTAAACAATTTTTATGTCAATTTGCCACAAACAAACTCAGGTCAGGTATGTACTTCAAATAACCGCTTTAACTGCTTTTCTTCTAATTCAATACAAAAACCGAAATTCACTATCCAAATTAACCGAAATACACATTTTAAACAATTTTTATGTCAATTTTGCATCCAATTAACCTTTACAGTTACATCGAATGCTTCTTCCCAGATCATGCTCGTTCTCTGTTGTTCAGCACATTTTTTATATTTAATTCACATTCATTTTTGGCTTATAACCAACCACACCATAGGCACACTCTGTCAATAATCGAATCTTCAGTTACTATTGAGCTAGGAAACATTTCAAAAAGAAAAAGTTTTGATCCATACTTATTGCTTATTTTGAACTGAAAAAGCCTACTTTTGACATAGGCACAAAACTTGCATTCGTACTTCCGTCCCAATTGGAATGCCGTCTCGTCTTCTGTATACTCTTGTAGTTCTGATCACAAAATTTGCTTGACAAATCGAAAGTCGCAATTAGATATTTTTGTGGAAGATCTGGAGGTATACTTTCTAACACTTTTTTTTTCCTTTCATTCCTTTACCTTATCACCGTCATAACTTTTTAATGACAGAGAGGTTGGGTGGGGGGACGGGGAGACAACACGAGAAAATTTAAAATCTCAAAGAATCAAACTTGCAGATTAATTTCTGAATAGTTCATGTATTTCATGATGCCAATTTTATTTATTTTTCCGACAATTTAATATTTGAAGAATATATGCATTATTTTTGTCATCTCTAGTGCACAACCTCTAAGACATGCTTTCAAAATATAAAAATCAGTAGAAACAAAAACAATTTCTTACCATGTACACACATACCAAACGGTTTTGTTCAACTGAAAAGATTGACGTAGGTTCAATTTCTTACCATGTACTTCTTCAAAAATGGAGGAAGTTATACTAGTCGCATGGTTCAAAGGAGGCAACTTTCCTTTTCCCCATCTCCCTGGTCCAGCTGCTGCTTCATTACCTAGTAGCTTTATCTATATGATTGTGTAGATATACATATAATATCTTATCTGCAAATGAATTTTTTTTCAGTCCCACAAATCATTCCTTCAGCTACAAAGTTCTATTTGATGAGACTTGAAATGTTGGATGTGTACTTGCAGACTTGTGAAACTTTTCCGTGTTTGGAGGACAAAGCAACTTGTGTAGGCAACCATGCCCAAGGAGAGTTTACCATTGTATATGGATTTTTGTTTTTCTACAAACAAATTGCGGCAAAGAAGGGGAAGGAAATGTTCTCCAGGTGGTGCTCTAGCAAGGAAATGTTCTCAATCTAACATAACAAGCATCACATGTCCATTCATGATTAGGTAATCTTTCATCATAAAATTCCTTTCCCTACGTAATAACTTGAAAACGTCATTTATGAGTTTCCTTTGAGATGGATGAAAATGTGTACATATGTATGAATAACCTGTGAGAGCTCAAGTTCTAGGACAGACGACGTTGAGGAAACTCCATGCTTGGTCTTGAACAATACTATGATTTTCCTCCGGTAGGGAATCACATAAGTGTTCCTTATGCAATGAATATTAATGCTGCACACTTCATTAATGACTTGTTTATTTAGAAGAAACATTTTTCATTGAAAAAAGATAGTAAAATACCACAGAAGTGAACAAGTACTCGTCCACCACAGAACAGGAATAGAGCTGATCTTAAGAGAAATACAACTATAAGAGCTTTAACAAAGAAATTATCCTTGAGCTGCCTTCCATCACTGAATTGTGAATAAACCAATATTGCTCAAGGTGAAGATAGGAACCTCACCCTATTCGGAAGCTCTTCCATCCCCAACCCCTTATAATTGTCGAAAACCCTCCTATTCCTTCCCTTCTGATGTTAGCCAACTCACTCCAGCCTTCCTGAATAATACATCCCTCAAATTTGAGATACTGGCATCCCTCAAATAATAGCTGAGCAATAAACAAACAATTGGACTGCAGACCTTTTCATCTTACACAAAATGAACCAACTTGGAGAAATATAGGAATTAGGTCTCTTTTACGCAGCAAATCACACGTATTCACCCTCTTGTGAGCCACAAGCCACACGAAAATCTTCAACTTTGTGGGAACGTTTGACACACAATTAATTTCACTATTCATGTTTTGTTCCTGGCTAGTCCCTTTACATGATCATTTTTATAGAGGCAAAGGCTTCTGAGGTGCTGTTGTCAAGTAAAAGTATATTATTTTATATTATTTTTTGTTATTAAACTATCAATATTATTATTATTGGATTTGCTTATTTAATTTGCTTCCCCATTGTTGTAATAGATAACATCCATGCCTTCTCATCTGATTTACTCATTTGCCAGAGTGGGAGGAATGAAGACCAGAAGGCCGGTGTCCAGATTTTCCTCATCTCAAGGAGCTGACTTTAGACAAGGTGTCTGAAGCTAAGAGGAAGCTTGCCTTCTCATCTTACTTGCTTGAAAGACTTAGCTTGTTGTCCGGGTGTGGGGTTCTACATGATGAAAGGGCCACTAATACTCGTAACATGGACTACTTATCTCTTGAAGAATTAGAAATATATGATGGATGCCCAGGTCTGTTCTCGTTACTAGAGACAAAGTTCCTGTTCGTGTTCCTATTTGATACGTGCCATTTCCAATTGAAAAACTTTTCAGGTAGGTTAAGAAAGTATTACACAACTGCATGTTTATAATTTAAATTCAAAACAAAGCATAATTGGATTCACATAAATCTACCTAATTGCCGTGTCATTGATTATTTCTAACAAGCAACTGAACCTTTGCAGAAGATCTGATGCTTCATTATAACATTTGATAATTGAATATGCATCTTTCAGTGTCGTCCCCTTCACTGTTTCCCTTTTAAGTTTTTAACGTATCAACTTGTTGGTTGGAAATTAGTTTTCAGAAGCTACACGAGTTGGGGTTAACTAGAGAAATTAGTTTGTTCATATTCTAAGATGAAACTAACGATCCAATTCTTAATGTCTTGAACTTAGGAGTATCTTATTGAGCTGAGATATGCATGAAAATGGAAAGCAATCGATTTGAAATCCTCACTGGCGTCTCAAAATCTGATGAGGAACAAAAGTATGAGAAAACACATGAAGGTAAAATTCTGTTGATCCTTTTCTGTGCCTTTCACTTCCGAAAGGTTTGCTTTCTGCAATTATTCGATGCCTTCTCATCTGATTTACTCATTTGCCATAGTGGGGAGGAATGAAGACCAGAAGGCCGGTGTCCAGACTTTCCTCATCTCAAGGAGATGACTTTAGACAAGTGTCTGAAGCTAAGAGGAAGAACGACCCTATCATCTTCCAACAAACTCAAGAACACTGCATGCTTTGATGAGTTGAAGTTGAAGTTGAAGAGTTAGAGAAAGAATGAAAGCTGTAGCAGAAAACATAGGGCTGAGATCTCTCCAAGGTATTGCCCCACTCTCCCACAATCTCTGTTCCTTGAATTATGAAGCTTACAGGATTACTCATTTAATGACATCATCACATGATCTTGTAGGTGATTGTGGAGAGGTTTGCCAATTGACCTTAGTGATATCGAAAAAGAAAAAGTTTGGTTTTTGATATTTGAAAGTAGGCACCTTTATATTCTTAGCACTAGACCGTTGCTCCGAACCACCCCTACAAACAACCCCAAAAAAAATGAAAAAACCATTCTTGTAGTTACCATAATCTTATGCCATTCATCTGAAATTTGAGAATTCACAAGGTCCCTTGAACTCACTTCTCTTCAACAGATACATATTTATGGTTGTCTGAGTCTCCAATTCCTGCCACAAGCCTCTTTCTTTTCTGAGCATCTCCAGTTGTTCTGCCCTGGAGTAAAGTTATGAGAATAAGAGAGAAGATTGGGCTAAGATATCTCACATTCCTTGCATCTTCATAGGCCAAGAAGTGATCATATGATATGAGCTCGTTATCAAACAAAGTTTTTGCTTTTCGACATTTCACTCTCAAGTCAAAGTCAGGCACATAGCATCAAGTAGGTCCCTTTTCCATGTTTATCTTGTCTAATAATTGGATTATCATTTGTTAGATTTATTTTTATGAAGCTGCAATAATTAGATTTAACAAGTAGAATTAATCTAATAATTGGTAAGGCTTGTCTGTGTTCTTTCTCTGCACCTTTTACTTCTGAGGGACTCTAAAACATTACTTGCTCAAAAGGAACGACAGCTATAGTTCATTAGCATTTTCTTTTTCTGTAAAAAAGAATCTTGCCTTGAATTGCAAATTTGATTTTATTGGTATTAAACTTGATAAATCTGATAATTCTGTCACTTTGTTTCTCACTGGGGCTGGTCCTTATCGGTATCCAAGAGCATGCTGATCACAACTTATGTCTGTCTAGTCTCAAATGCTGAGTTATTAGTCACTCTGCACGATAACATGCCTTCTCATAAAAAGTTCTCATTCGCAGGTTTCTTTCCTGTCACTGCCCGAGGAGAGTTTACTGTTGTATATAGATTTTTGTTTTCCTACAAACAAATTGTGGCAAACAAAGGGGAAGGAAATCTTCTCCAGGTGGAGCTCTAGCAACAGACCAGCATTTGGACAATGTGGTGAAGAGATCTGAATCTAGCATAACAAGCATAACATGTCTATTCATGATTAGGTTATCTTTCATCATAAAATTCCTGTCTGTAGGTAATAACTTGAAAACGTCATTTATGAATTTAATTTGAGATGGATGAAAATGTATACATACTTGTTGGTTGGAAATTAGTTTTCAGAAGCCACATGAGTTGGGGTTAACTAGAGAAATTAGTTTTTTCATATTCTAAGATGAATCTAATGATCCAATTCTTAATGTCTTGAACTTAGGAGTATTTTATTGAGCTGAGATATGCATGAAAATGGAAAGCAATCGAGTTGAAATCCTCATTGTATAGCTATTAGACTTGGCTTTTCAAAATCTGATGAGGAACAAAAGTATGAGAAAACACATGAAGGTAAAATTCTGTTGATCCTTTTCTGTGCCTTTCACTTCCGAACTACAGTTCCATTTCATTAGAATTGTTTTCTTTGTTGTATCTCTAGACTCTCTGCGTAAGATTCCCAATGGGAACTACCCCAACTTGACCCAATTTGGCATGCATTGTGTATTTTGAGATTTCAAGGTAACTGCTGCTAATGGAAGAAAACTAAAGCGTATTGCATGCTCTTTTAAGGTAGAATGACCTTATCATCTTCCAACAAACTCAAGAAATGCATACTCTGATGAGTTGAAGTTGAAGATTTCGAGAAGGAATGAAAGCTGTAGCAGAAAACATAGGGCTGAGATCTCTCCAAGGTATTGCTCCACTCTCTCACAATCTCTGTTCCTTGTATTATGAAGCTTACAAGATTACTAATTACTGACCATCATCACATGATCTTGCAGGTGATTGTGGGGAGGTTTGCCAATTGACCTTAGTGAAATCAAAAAACAAATGTAAGTTTGCTTTTATATATTTGAAAGTTGGCACCTTTGTTTATATTCTTAGCACTAGACCGTTGCTCGGAACGACCCCCACACAAACAACACCCAAAAATAGAAAAAAAAACAATCTCATAGTTATCATAATAATATGCTTTCTATTAGCTCTTTGATCGGAGCTATCTTGTCCTGCAGATAGTTCATTTGTGTTTGGAGGGGCGGCCTTCATCTGATCTGACCGCATGGAAAAGCTCTCTTTGTGTTGATGAAGAATTCTTCATCTCAAACAAGATAAACTGATGTTAAACCCTGGGGGGCACATCTTCGTTTGGTTTTCTTGCAAGAAAACTTTATCGGATGATGATGATGTTGTTGAAAGTTACTTTCTATGTAATGCCATATGCAGCCAGTTTGTTGGCCTTTGTCTATGATTCCTTCAAAGACAGCCATGGATTGTGTACTTAAACTGTTAAAGCTCGTATTGTTGAAGTTCAATTTCCTCTTGTCCCACATTGAAAGATTATAGCTTTGTCTATGAATCCATATTGTTGTTTCCAACAAAAGCTTTGTATCTATTCAATGTTTCCATACATTTCAAGAATTTTGACAAGCAAACGGTCATTGAAGTTCAATATGAAATCTTATGAGGTTGTCTTATGGGATGAGCTGCTCATGTTACCATAATTTCCATGTTCTGTTTTTATATATAGTTATTACCCTTCTCTTCCTTGTTCCCATGACAATTGTTTGGGCCTAAATTTGGTGCGCCCAGTCCAAAGTCGAAAAACCCACGTCCATTTTGACAGCCACCAATAAATGATTGGGCCAAGGAAATATACACTCAACCCAAACATTAAAGGCCCAAAAACTATACAAATGGCTTGGGCCTTGGAAGAAACGAATTGAGCCCAATCCCTATAAACAGCTTTACCGTTTCTTTCAAAAGCCCAGGAACAAGGCAACAGATTTTTCTCAAACCCACGTGACCCCTGACTTGAAAGAGCAGTTAAATTGGAAAAAGGAGGTGAGGTTCCCCATCAGAAACATCAAAATATTTTTATAAGCAGAGATATTTTTCTGATTAAGAGAAGGCATCATTTTCAAGGGATACGCAGACTATGCTTTCTAAAAAAGGAGATAAGCAGGAAACAGGGAGTTGCTAAACTGGAAAATCAAACTTACCATCACAGTTTGAAAGAGCAGTTAAATTGGAAAAAGGAGGTGAGGTTCCCCATCAGAAACATCAAAATATTTTTATAAGCAGAGATATTTTTCTGATTAAGAGAAGGCATCATTTTCAAGGGATACGCAGACTATGCTTTCTAAAAAAGGAGATAAGCAGGAAACAGGGAGTTGCTAAACTGGAAAATCAAACTTACCATCACAGTTTGAAAGAGCAGTTAAATTGGAAAAAGGAGGTGAGGTTCCCCATCAGAAACATCAAAATATTTTTATAAGCAGAGATATTTTTCTGATTAAGAGAAGGCATCATTTTCAAGGGATACGCAGACTATGCTTTCTAAAAAAGGAGATAAGCAGGAAACAGGGAGTTGCTAAACTGGAAAATCAAACTTACCATCACAGTTTGAAAGAGCAGTTAAATTGGAAAAAGGAGGTGAGGTTCCCCATCAAAAACAGAAGTGACTGTCTCAGGAACTGATCATTGAGGGCTTAAACTGCCAGAATTGATAAAACCCCCTTTCTTTTGCTTTTAAAAATAAAAGATCTTTTGAGATTTTTGCTGCCCATTATTGAAAGAATTAGAATCCCCACTCGTAAAACACTTCTTATAAATACAAGAGAGGGTGAACAGAAAAAAGGACATACAAATCAAACAACCAAAAATCAGTCAAAAGACAAACACTCAAAATGATCACTTGATCTCAGAAAACCTTCAAGCAAATTGAAGCAACCAAAAGCTAGCTAAGTCACAAGAAAAGCCAGCTATAAGTCAAAACTTCCAATTTTCAGACTTAGAAGAAAGTCATTCAAAACGAGATTTTTCTCGTTACAAATTTGGTTCAGCAAAGCCAAAGCAAGTAGAGTTTGGGTTTTTCACAAATACGAAAACCTCAACAAATTTATGGAGAGCCCTGACTAAGAAGAACAAGTGTAAGATCCCACATCGACCAACGGAGAGTGGGTGATGTGCCTTATATGTGCACACCCGCATCCATCTAGCACGAGGCCTTTTGGGAGCTCATTGGCTTCGGAGTCGTAGGAACTCCGAAGTTAAGCGAGTTGGGGGCTAGAGCAATCCCAGGATGGGTGACCCACTGGGAAGTTGCTCGTGAGCTCCCAGAAACAAAACCGTGAGGGTAGAGAGAGGGGCCCAAAGCGGACAATATCGTGCTACGGCGGAGCCAATCCGGGATGTGACAATTTGGTATCAGAGCCACTCTGCCGTGTGGTGCGAGTGTGCCGACGAGGACGTCGGGCCCCTAAGGGGGGTGGATTGTAAGATCCCACATCGACCAACGGAGAGTGGGTGATGTGCCTTATATGTGCACACCCGCATCCATCTAGCACGAGGCCTTTTGGGAGCTCATTGGCTTCGGAGTCGTAGGAACTCCGAAGTTAAGCGAGTTGGGGGCTAGAGCAATCCCAGGATGGGTGACCCACTGGGAAGTTGCTCGTGAGCTCCCAGAAACAAAACCGTGAGGGTAGAGAGAGGGGCCCAAAGCGGACAATATCGTGCTACGGCGGAGCCAATCCGGGATGTGACAATTTGGTATCAGAGCCACTCTGCCGTGTGGTGCGAGTGTGCCGACGAGGACGTCGGGCCCCTAAGGGGGGTGGATTGTAAGATCCCACATCGACCAACGGAGAGTGGGTGATGTGCCTTATATGTGCACACCCGCATCCATCTAGCACGAGGCCTTTTGGGAGCTCATTGGCTTCGGAGTCGTAGGAACTCCGAAGTTAAGCGAGTTGGGGGCTAGAGCAATCCCAGGATGGGTGACCTACTGGGAAGTTGCTTGTGAGCTCCCAGAAACAAAACCGTGAGGGCAAAGAGGGGGGCCCAAAGCGGACAATATCGTGCTAGGGGAGTCAGGTCGTGACAACAGGTGCCACAGTACAGTTCCAGTTCAGTAATCCTCAAGCTCAGCCACTTCTGCCCCTTCCAGACTGAAGAGGTCGCAGTTCTGCCCGTTAAAAAGCCTTCCAGGGCTTCAAATAGATTAAAGCTCTGCCAAACTTAAGCTTTGGTATCGATTTGTAGCTGAAGCTTAGCAGTTGAAGTTGTTGAAAGTCCAGTCCAGCACAAGCATACCCAATCCAGCCCGAATCAGAAGCATCTACCTAGACAGAAATGGAAGCACAACCCTCTTTTTGTCTTTTCATAGTCAGTTTTTCCCTTTTGAGCTTTGTAAAGAAGAGTTCTACCTGAAAACAGATCACTCTCTTATCATTTATTCTGGCCGGAACTACCAGTTTTGTACTATGAAAAATTGTAAAGTCCTCAACCAGTCTGAGGCAAGAAAAGAACTTACTTGGGAGATATTCCTCACCCAAATTCACAATCGCTT